TCGTTAACCACGATCACTGACAGAGCATCATCACTAGCGGCACCCATCTCTTCCGTAGTTGCAGACTAACAGGTGTCTGTGTCGATTTCGACGGGTACCACTCCTACTAAACTAGACAGACTGGATTACAGCATTGAAAATGTACGCAAGCTGTTGGTCAGTTTTGGCGGGAACAAGCTTGCCGGCACTGACGCATTCCACCAGCTGATCTACAAGTCATTGTCGGACGTCATTTTTCCCTCCGTGATTGAGTTGTTTAACATGTCGATGTCCTAAGGTTTATTACCGAGCAACTGGAAATGCTCAGTCGTGCAGCAAATATCGAGAGGTGGTGAACCAAGCAAACTGGACAACTACTGACAGATCTGCCTGACCGTTGTTTTCGCAAAGACGCTTAAGAAAATCGTGAATAAAGGTCTTCCGTTGCTTTTTGAGTAAAAATGCCACTTGACGTCTGCACAGCATGGTTTCGTGGAAAGTTGTTCATGCATCATCAAATGATGGCAAGCACTGAACCAGGGGAATTCAGTCGACGTCATTTCTATCAAATTCAAGGTGTTTGACAAGGTGAATCAAGAGATTCTCCTCTATAGACTACGGATGTGGGACATTGTCTGCTCGCTGCATCAATGGAGCAGGAATTTCCTTGTTAATCAAAACTGGGAAGGGCAAGGTCGACAGCCATCTGACCGCCTGTTATCAAACGACCAGTGGCGTGCCACAGTACACAGTATTGGGGCTCAATATGGTTCTGATGCACACAGACTAGGTGCGTTCAGCACTACCGTTCGGATTGCACGCTTTTACAGATAACTTGAAAGTGTGGAGAGTAATCAGCGTGCACATTGACTGTGACCAGCTTCAGCTTGAACTTGCCCTCCTCTCCGTATGGTGTCCAGAAGTCAGTTTTTCGACAGACCCGGCCAAGTTATTATATACAAGCCTAGGTGAGAATGAACAAGGCCGAAAGCACAATGTGGTTGGTCAACCGTTGCATCCCACGCCTTTAGTGCAAGACTTCCATGTACTCTCACATTGCGACGTAAAATCCGTGAACAACACGAATAGGCTTTAACAAGCGGCATTCGCATGCAATGCGTATTCATGCAAAGCTTCGGTACTTGGTCGGAATTGATAACTACATGCCTCTTCGTTTATCATACTGTAGTGGCGCGGAAGACAAGAGTCACAAGCGGAACGGACGAGACGCGAAAACAAAGGAACATGAAAAGTAATTAGGACACCAGGGAAGAAAGTCGACAAAGCAGCTCGAGGCTTACGGGACAAGCCGGAAATGGAACAACGATGTCAGGCCCAGGCCGAGAAGAGCCGGAGGAGATAGTGGTGGACAGTCCGAATTTCCGGTGAAATACACATTTGGCTGCGCCTCCAGAAATAACCAAAAAGAGAACGACGCAGCCACGAGTAAGCAAGTGTAGAGCGTTAGAACTAATCCACTCGGTACAGACTAGGACTTGAGGAAGCGAAGATATGGGGGAAAATCGGGGAGCAGCGAATTCACTGATCGGTTGAAGTCGAAGCATGAATGTGACATCGAGCGTGGTAGGGAATCACCCTCCATACGTGCGCGCGTGCTTGCTAGCCTGTGAACCCGTTGTGCATTGGCGGTAAAGACTGTGCTGGTTCTTGCTACAATACCACCAATGCTAGAGTACAGCTCACCCGCATACTGTCCTTTCACCCCGTAAGAGAAGCAAAGGATTTAGCGGGTACAGCATGTGGCCACCGGGCTCATCCACAAGCTGCATGCCCTACGCAGACCGGTGCAAGAGTCTAGGACCTTGCACCTTGTATCATCGTCGAGTGTGGCTTGAATTCAAGATAATGCAACAGATATCAAATTGTGGTGCTTACACCATGTTGAGGCCGCTGCTTCATATGCGCACACAAAGCACCACACGAGGACCCCAGTGCAAGTTTGTAGTAGCGGATATGACGCAGTTCGCTCACAAACTCTGAATTGAACGAAGGTTAAATAATACCCGGAACAAGTTACCACCGCATGTCGTGGAAGAGAGTAGGAATTCAAGAAATTCTCGAACAAGCACTATTCGGAAATGTAATAGCAGCAAGGTTCGTCAAAGTAATCGGACATTGAACCTGAGGGATTTTAAATGCAAGTACACACTGGTTAACAACCAGCTTCTTTCTCAGTCGAAAAGTAATTTCGTTACTTTACCTACCCTGGTTTTCGAGCTCTAACTCCGAAACCAATATGTTAGATTCCCACAATAGCAGAATTAGATATTGGCTTCTCTAGCTTGCAGCATTTCAGAGAGTACTCAACAACTCGGATCACATAAGTTCATAGGATGGATTTTTAGGCTTTGGAGCACCTGCCGTGTGTCTTAAATTGCGTCACGCAATCTCAAGTGTGGCTTCGGTTGTCTTTGAATTCGGCCTCTACCAATACGACCACTGGGACTGTGTCGGAATCCAGTACACACAGCGGGTGCTCCAAAAAGTAAAATATATTTCTAACCGCTGTGTCAAGCAGTGTCCGTGGATCTCAATGGCCTAGTGATCGTGGCGAGAGCCACCGAGCACTAAGCGCCGAGTTCCATTCCCAGCTGTTTCACATCTACCTGATGAGTCCAAATCAGGACGAAACCGTCGGTCCTGGAGTGCACGGATAAGAAAGAGCCCCAATGGAACCGTCATAAGATTGCTTATTAAAAGCTTCACCCAAAAATCTATTACCTCTTTTAGTCTTAAGATAAACGCCCGACCGCTAGTAGATCACTGCGTCGTGATCTAAATCTGCTACTCTATGAGGCCATTAACAATTTAAAATACCCAAAAAACGTTCCAAGCCTATTCCGAAATATTGACTAAAAGATACTTCCTTAAAAGACTGACGGGATTGTTGCCACAGTAGCTTACTTACAGTTCTGTAAGGCTAATCCACTATGGCTCAGACGGGTGCAACTAATTATTTACATAATCCATGTGATACTACATAAAAGGATACAAGCCCAGCACACAAATACAAATCGCAGAAACATGTCTCAGTATAGCATTTAAAGGTACATTAATAGCTTTATGCTAAAAACTGGGCGAAACCGGTAAGAAACAAATTGTCACCACTAGCTGAAATGCAAATCCAAAGAAATCCAGCGGTGCGTAACAGTTGCAAAACAGAATCTCACAGAATGATACTCGTCCAAGGAATGTGGAAAGAATATCAGAATGCAGTTCTCATTATTCTACACTTCAATGTGATATTATGATCACGGACGCAACGATGAAACATTGTTATCCAAGCTCTATTCATACCAGTTTATCAAACAGTGTCTAGCAATACTGTAGCATTGTTTTATCTGGTTCGAACGATTTCCCAAAGTTAGGGGAATCCCTTGGCAATTGGAACCTATCCCATTTTACAGATCCTATTTTCGCTTGGCTGTTTATCTTTTGTATTCGGTCAAGGTGATTCGAAAATTAACCACGTGTTTGTGCAGCTCCCTTAATTGGGATAGCAGTAAAACCAATGTCAACTATCAGTGAAATTTTGCGGAGTGTTTCTGTCATTCACTATCAATTATACTGGACGTTTGCAATTTATTGGCAAGTATTTTGTGCATTCATTCCGATTTTCATTAATATACGCCAACAAACGTGCACTTGCTAGTTTCTTGTACTTTCATACCTCTAGTTTTCTTTTAGAGAGTTCACTACATTTGAAGTGTATCTTTATAAATTATGATAGTCCAATCAAATTAGAAAGGTGTACACATCTTACCTCAAAAGAAGCCTGCACCGACCACCTACTGCAATTATTTTATTTCATGCGCACCATTAAGTATTTCTCATGAATGGCAACGTTCATCTTTAACCTCTTCTCCTTCGTAACGCGCGGTAGTCTCCTGGGATGTACTAAAATTTTATACACTTGTACTACTTCAATCTATATATAACTCAGCAGTTTAAATGCTCTTTGATCAACATGCCATCATCAAATAGAACGCTATTTTGTAAAATACCAAACTAAAGCACGATGAAGTACTACCGTGTCAGAGCACGCATCAAGAGAGTAGAGTACACGGTCGATACAACTGGCATTTGAATTCACAGTGGGATGTTCCAATTATTTGCAATTGTTCGCTTACACTTTGATCTTACCGACTATAAGTTAGCGTAAGAAATGACATACTCGTTAGTTTTCTATCATTTTAATAGTAATTTTTACATAATTTAAAAGAAAATTGGTACAGTGTCAATGTGTAAATTTAGCTATCAGGGTTATACTATTGCACAAATGACTCTCAGGAAATAAAAATACTGGCTCAACCTCTGAATTTGCTTTCTGGTGACACGTAGCATTATCCGGCTTCAATGTTGCATTGTAATGCCACTTTGCGATGCCAACCAAATGCAACGTTCAAGTATACATTATTATCCCGAGTCCCATTTTTATTCACAAGAGCGGGGAGTTCAAACTAGTGTCAAAGAGAGCAAATCACTCCAAATACATGTGCTCGGTGGCACATAATCCCTCCGTTATGTGCAAAAGTGCTTTATCGGCTCTTTGACCAGGTTAGCTGAACATTATTTCTATTATTTACGGTGGAAATAGAACTATTTTTCACAGTTAATGAGGTTACTTGTTAAGCAGTTCTTTTGATGTACATAAAGGTATCAATATTTTCCGCATATAATCTATATACCTTCAAGATGAGTTGTTAAAGTGACCACTCAGTTCGGTCGCACCTATTCTCAAACCGTCAGTAGTCAAAATAACCCATTCGATATTTCCAGTTTCGTGGGTGGAAAGGTGGACTTAGATGTGATGTTTCGGCGAGCATTGTGTCCAGTGCCTCGCTTCGAATTCTTTTAAACCAAGACAACGCATAGAATGATAAACTGTGTCTTTTTTCTGCCTAAATTTCCCCAGCAGGCTCTATTCAAGTAAAGTATCAATGCAGGTATAGTTAACTGATTATTAACTCGTATGGTTTGAAATATAAAGTTCAACTTACCTACACATCGACCGTGGCACATGTTCAGCGGTAGGTAATCCGGAAATGTGATGAAGTTCAGATATGGGTTCTGGCGAATTTGTTCTTGGTTCAATGTATAACGGAATAGGCAGCAATTTGGAATATCACGGTATGGATGCAAGAAACTGGGACAACCTTTCAGTGTTTGATAGTCCTCCACGATCGGGGATACTGAACGAGTGCTCATTCTGCGGCCACCATACCTTTTAAGCACTTCTAAAGCTGGACCAGTGTATATTTCCAAAGTCACATGACTGCCTGGCCAAAGGATATTGGGACAGTAGACCGATTTTTCCGGAAGTCGTACGCTGGCATCAGAAATTGCGTTCTCGTCGAAAGGTGCACAGTCAAATGTGAATACCAATGGGTATCGCTGATCTGGTTGACGCTTCTGTAATTTTAAGATTGTTGAGGTGACATTTCGGCGAACATGGTTTTGTTGGAGACCACTACTAACAGACTGCTTGACGCTGCCTTCATTTGTGAAGTCGGAATCCCTCTCGAACATTGGGAAGTCAGTCGAACGGGGAAAATGTGCGCTAACTAGTACTTCCCTGGCGCGTAATGTTGTCATTGTAATGAGAGACATTCGAGCGTAAACTACTGGCCTTTGTGGCAGATCAACCACTTTTTCCAAAACAGCGCACGCAATGCGTGGACCATGGTTCGGTCGGCGACAGTAGCCTGAGGGAAATGGACACGTGTAGGATCTGTGGGACGATGCAACAATTAGATGTTGATTCTTGTAATACTTCAGTCAGGCGAACTAGTGCACTCTCACATTGTAAAGTTAGACGTTTATCCGCTAGTTCACCATAACAACCACCATATCACGTTGCAAAATTGTTTGGAATATACTAGTTCCAAAAGACGAATAGATTACAAACATACACTATTTCAATGCAGGCCAGTGAAGTTTGATTTCTCAGATTGACCCAACAAATGTAATACATTTCCAATGTCAATAGGGGCAAGTGTATGGATGGTGACTTTTTTATTTGGTTAGATCGGCTGGACGTTTCTGTACTGGCATCCCTAACCCCACGTTTTTGTGATATCATTACACTCTCCATGTACGGGTTATCTTTTCATGCTTATACCTCATTAAGCTGAGTATGTTACGGTTCATTGAGCTTGACTGGACGCTTATTTCTATTCGATGCACTATGTTCCTATCCCGCTAAATGGCACTTAACTTCCGCAGGTGTTAATTGAGCGAGTTGTTTAAAATGTTGAATAGTTCGATAGCGGTCGTAGGTAAAGTTGTTTGTTTCGAATCGGAAAACGTAAAATTATTTCGAAATGATATCCTCCACAATAAAAGACTCTTCAGTTGAAGGATGATTCGTGAACATACATTGATTGCAAGAATCAAACAGACGGGATATGGTAGATTTTCATTCAAACCACAAGCTTGTTCGCTGACCGCCGCACATAAAAGTTTTGGGATAGGCCAATGACTAGTCTCCAAATTTGAACAATTTAGCCCTGAAAGCTGAATTTGAAGGTCAGCATTTATAAAGCGATGAAGAAAGATAAACAAATTGAAAAACAATAGTACGGGGGAATGACATCGCATAGGTTAGTTCACTTCGCAAGGCAGCAAAAGTAACGCCCGTTTCCTTAGATATCCTGAGGAAAATCACCTGGTATTTGTAATCGGGTATTGAAGAAAGGAGTAGTAGTTTATCTACCATCTTTTGAACAAGTGACACTTGTATTATGCTGTCTTACTCTGAGAAACGTTTATTTACTAGGACCTAGTGTTGGCCTAATAGCTTGCTCGGAAACTAACACAATTGTAACATAAGGCCGCAGATTTTCAATTCCCTTTAGCTCCCACTAACCTAACACGTTTTTGCAAATTGTGAAACAACGAGTCGAATAGCCAAGCGATACTTATGATATAACATGACTCGTGAGATATGCGTCTCAATTAACCATCAGTGGACAATCACTGCCGTATTGTGGAGTTCAGACTAGTGGCGTAACTCTGAAAAGGAAAAGAGGACGGTATGAGGTTTCGAGATCATGGCCTAATGACAACTTTGAAGGTGAATAGGGGGAAACGCCCTACTCCTCTCTGTTTCTTCCATGTAAGTAGCAATTTGGGCGGCGCAGATGCGATTACGGCATTTGCATAAAAATTTTAAAGGTTACGAGGCAAACATTATGACTGTTGTAGACAAATTATATGTTACTCGATTTAATAAGCATCGTGGTTTTATGTCGACCACTTAATCACATAAGTGATGGTTGAATATACCGTGAAAGTTAAATTGTGTTTTTCTAGGAAAGCAAGAAACCAGACCGTAGCTACACGATTTGAACATGTGTATGGGCACAACTGAAACTATGTTCGCCATTCGTGCGCATTTCAGCCAGCAAGTAACCAATTTAATAATAAGTGATACTACTGAAACATATCCAGTATAATAGCACTAAGCCAAATGCCTACTCTAGCATTGATTACCTTCAGATATGATGCCGATAAGTTAGAACTTCAAGTGGAAATTGACCTTCTTTACTCCCTGTTGAGAGCCTTCTGTGGGAAACACACCCATCACAGCGCATACTCACTGCTTACTATATTCAAACGCAAATAAGCATATCTTGGGTTTAAAACACTAAATAACCGGTTTCATGTCCTCCCAGGTTAGGGCATTTAAATATGTGGCATAACATAGATGGTATAATTTTGTGTCTACCTGCGGTGCGAGCCTTTCTGTGCCATTATTGCAAAGGCACAAGTTTATATAAAAATTCAACTTTAGAATTTTAGTATATGCGAAGAGCCGCGTCCAAGAAAGGACGGCTCAAATATAGCGCTGAACTCATTTTGTGTGCAAATGTCGAACTTCATGGACTATGAACATGAATTCCGTGCTCGAGTGTGTAGTATGGTACGGAGGCTATTCTGGGTTTCCACATTTTCTAAACACCGCACTTTTTCAGAAACGCATGACGGATATCAGGAAAAATCAAAAAAAGCGTGAAAGGAATTACAATCCAAAGTATGATACGCAAATATTCAATGATGAACAATAATATATTACAGGTAAAAAACGATTGCTTTACAAATCCCATAAGATGGTTGAAGTGAAAGCAAAGAGAAGTGTAAATCCTCGATTTAAGTGTCTAGCGATTCGGATGACTTTTTCATATAAACATTTTAGAATGTATATCGAATTGTTACTGTAGAGTAATATGGGGAAGTAATATGGGGAAGTTATGTCTTAAGAACGAAAGAAACGACAAAGCTTACTGGTTCTACGCTTTCTTGGACTGATGTAATTGATGAAGGCAGTTGTAGTATATCCGAACGATATTCCATAGCAGCAGCGTGTAAGTAGTAAAGCACAAAAGCTGAGAATGAGCACCGTTTGTTCATGTCTGATTGACATAGACATCACTAATTATATGGCTTAATGTAAGTGGATAAGCGAATCATCCAGACGTCACTTGAATACCGTTAGCGTGGGAGAAGCAGCGTATGTGGGGACAGCGTTCCAGTGTTGGCACACACGAAGCGAAAAGAAATTCCGGTGGCTTTCAACCGGCTGTATTGTGTGGCCAGCTTTAGCTGGTGTCCTCTGAGTGTTGTATTGCGATTCAGCTTTAGTAGGTGATGACAAGAATGGTTTGGATTCCTCAGGATCATATAAGTCATTATCAAGTCGCCACGCAGGAGTCGATATTGTCCACTGTAGACCCAGAGGGTTTTCAGCCTCAATCGGTAAGAGAGATGAAACAGTCCCTTTACGTTCTTGGTCGCCCTTCGTTGTGGCAGTCAAAGAGCGGTAAGGTCTTGCTTTTGCCATGGCTGCCAGGCACGGTTGACGTATACAAAATGAGGCCGAATGTAGGCGTTGAGCATATGAGAAAAGATGGAAGGATCAAAGCGCCCGAATGCCCTCCGCAAAAGGCCAAGGTTTTGGTTAGCTATTTTGGAGACTTTCTCGGCCTGACGGGAACAGTCTAGATCTTCTTGTGCTACCACGCTTAGATGGCATTCCGTGGAAGTGCGTTGCAATATTTGATCCCCCAGTCTGTATTCGCAAGTGGCTTTATGGCGTATGTTCAACAACTCAGATACAATTGTTCCATACCTACTTATTCTCAGATGCTTTAGGCATCGTTATAAAAGCCATTTTCATTAGACCATGATGCTCCAACTAGATAAACTGCCTTTTGTGCATTAAGCTACCTATTCATTGAACGTTTGAAATTTTTTAGTGTGCAGCATGGTCTACTGTCCGTTAGAAGCTTGTTGCAGCTCTGAACTTAGGAAATTAGAAAATAGAATGCCTTGATTTCTATAGCATACTTCGGAATCACTATCTGAATTCTTGTTGGCCGTCGACCATCTGGCGCCCAAAGTCATGTGGAAGTCACTATTCACAACGCACACTAGATGGTTTATAATTCCCAGTAGCCAGAATGAGTCACATTTAAATTCCATGAAATGCTGGACGCATGTAACAATAAAAGATATGCACATCACATTTAACTGAAGCGTTGCTAGATCCTGTCAATATAATCAATCTAAATTGGAGTATACCTTTTGGCAAATGAACATAATTCCATGGTTAGTTATGCCGTTACTTTGCAGAGGAAGCGTTGCGATTCGGTCAGTCAGAACTGACGGCCTCAGTGACCATTATTCGGACGTTTCATTTTCACAACCGTAAAAGGTAACAGAATGTCACACATGAAAATCGAGAACAACTCTGCGTTGCTACAGGCACGTGCCCTGCAGTAGTAAACGGTTTAGCAAAATGTGGCACTTGTTTGACAAAGTATCTTATTTGTTCAAGACAAGTTACGACATAGGCATGAGAATTCAAGGGATGGCAGATAAGCTGGAGTCAAGCGTATGACTCACTTGACATCTGCAACTGACTAAGGGTAGATGACTTGGATCTTAGTAGCAAAGTAGTGTCATGCATAGCCTTCTAGAATACCTCGTTTACATAGATAAAAATATAAAGGGTCTGTTGGGACCTCCTGGAATTACCTCACTGGTGAATGCTTTGGGTTTGGAGAGGCGGTCACCAATCTTCACTGCATGCTGTCTAACAGCTAGAAATGGGAACAACCAGGAGATTGGTTCCGTAATTTTGTGGCTTTCAAATTTCTAACACTATGCACTGGAAACTTCCTACAACTCATCCCATTACAACAAGTGCTAAGTAAAACAACCAAGTGAAAATCATACTTCGAGGGGCATGTTGTAAAGGATTAACACTGAAGGTTACAGACGTGACAAGCATTGCAGAATCAGTATACTTAACAAATAGTGCACAATATATGTCAAAACTTCAAACGTTGCTAAGAAAATACATTATTTACTTAGAACAACCCACCCAGTGACGACAGAAAAATAAATTGACACAATACGTTATAGTTTGTAGTGCTAGTAAATTCGAATTCTGTCAGTTTAGATGACCTGATTAAGCTGCTTATTAGGGAAGCCAAAGGAATTTCTATCAAAATACTCAGGTCAGCCTGAGAGGGATGTGAAAAAGTGAGATGATGTGAACTTGTAACTTGTAAAGAAAAGCCAAAAGTCTCATTCAAATATCTTTAACTTATACTCTCAGTTGTTTTTTGCCAGGTATGCTGTCATAAGCACATGTGCTGACCAAACAAGCTACCGTAGTTGTTTCAACGACAAGTGCAGGTTGGTTTTTCTGATCTTTACACCCTCTAGGTTTCCGTTTCCTCGCCTGAAATACCAGATTATAACAGATAAACATTCATAAATATCTTCAAATTTGTGCAGGAAGTGCTTCTTGCCTGCATTCTGGATGTGTGTTTGCGATCCGAGTTTCAAAACACGCTCCGTAGATATACAGAGTCTGTGAGTTTCAGCACCTCTTGCCTCTCGATATCAACATGAAACTATAGCATAATGACGATGAAAATGCCACAAGACGTTTAAAAGTTCGCTACATTACATTAATCTTGATAGACACATTTACACATCACATCGACCTGTGCTGCGTGAGTTGGGTGTCAAATGCTAGGAAACAACCATACCAACAACGCCACGCTTCATTTCAATCAAAAGATACGGTCTTATTATTAGTAAAAAAACACTAGCATAAGTTATTGTAAACTTCGAAACAGTTGAGACTAATACCTCAGATTTAATGTTGTGGTATCTGAAGCCAAAGTATTATAAAGCAACCAAAGCAAAATACCAGTGTTGAGGGAATTTAAAAATGTTTGATCAGTCAAAGAGATGAATGCACAACGCTTAATAGCATCACTAATATCTCGTGAAATAATTGCAGGTATAGTCATTCAACAACACCTACGAAATGGAATCGTGTGGTTTTTCAACACTTGCTCCGCCTTCTAGTTCATGTGGTAAGTCTTCATGAACTTCGGTCATATGTATGACAATATTAACTGACCAAAGAAAATTCTCCCCCGGAGTATGCTTACCAGTTTCCAGAATCACGAGTGAATTGCGCAACTCGTTAAAAGTAATCGTATCCACCAAGTGATCAGAGACCGCCTTGTGCAAATTCTCGTTGTTGATGATTTCGGTGTATCTTTCCACCGCTTTTGGCACACTTCTGCGAACCCGCGTCAACTCTTCCCAGGACAATGGTATCGGATTTCCTTGAACGTTAGCCAAAATTTGCCAAGATATTGCCGCGTGCAACAGATGAGGAGATTCACTAGTCAAGTTGACCGGTTGAATTGTTTGAACCTGCGTCACACCATATATCGAGCTCAGAAACAGAGCACACAACAGTGCCGCTTTGGTGAGCGACATGCTAGACTAAGGTGCGCAGTCTAAAGAGTTACGGACGGCCACTTAAATACCCCATCTGCAATATAACGCATCTTATCTGACGTAATAATACTTCTCCGACGCGTGCGTGCACGCACACACACGCACGTGGTCTGGTACATTGAGACTGAGACCACCTTCTCAAACTTGGCTACGAACGTAACGGTGGTCATAATGGTGGGTGTTCTATCGAGAGTTGACAAGAACCAAAGTGATAACCGCTGTCGTGCAAACCGGTGACATTTTATGTTCCTTATGTACCTTATGGTAGGAAGAAGGAATTCATTCGCATGAATGCAAACATGTGTCTTGTTGTAAATTATTTAAAATTTTACTGAAAACAAATAATTGCTCATGATACTGCTAGATATTAAAATTAATTCGTTTGTGTAGTTAAAAATAAAGTAAAGTCTATTGAGGCGCGGACGGAACTTGCGTTCTAATCGTGCAGCCTTTGATTCAGTTATTTTTGCACGCGCCTTTGATCAATTGCGGTTAGGTAGGAATCGAGCTTGAAAAATTATGGCAACACTATACAGATGATTGCTCCCAGGTTCGCGGATATATTGAAACAAATATCTTCATAACTTTGCATGTGGAACATAAACCGAAATATGAGCATGCCACTGCACAGTATTTGGCTTTGAGCCTGAGATAAGTAAATGCCTAATCGGGTAATATTCGAAGCTGCGAAATTGTATTGTCATATCCCTGCACAATCCCATCGTGACATTCTTTGTCTGTGTCTCAGATCATATGACTGAAGCTTGTGACCGATGTGGCGGGGTTGTCTGACTGAAAAGATAGTAAGTGTACTTTTTTAATATAACGCTTTGTGGACTAGGGATTGGGGCATTCTTAGCACTCGAAGTCAGCTTGTTAGTTTCGCTTACTAGTGTAACGTCCAAAAGGTATCTTATCCGAAAAGTTTGATGTAATATAATTGGGTGGTTTTGTCGACGCAGTTGCGAATACTCGATGGGACTAAACGATTGCACTAAGTACTTCTAAGCAGCAGCGTATTTCATGACGACGAAGCACCCACTCGGAAGATAATTACAATTCGATGCTCCAGGTTAAAATCTTTATTCAAAACTAGCAGAAAGTTGCTGCTGCGACTTTATAACATTCTGTTTCAAATGTATATTTGTGTACTTAATCACGGACAATAGCTTTGGGATGTGTTTAAAGCAGCAACGCCCTAATGATTACTGCTTTACCTAGATACGTTAAAGAGCATGACTCTAATGACAGACGAAGAGCCTTTAGGAAATCAACGTAAACCTCCCATTCAGTAATTTTGACCATCTGTCAAACGAGCAACTAAAGAGACTTAAATGTAAAACGCCTGCGTCAACAAGACTGGTCTAAGCATTACCTCAGATTCTATCCTTAATTAAACCGCACACCACTAAGATAACGTTCCAGCTGTCAAGCATTGCTATCCTTTCCAGGCTTTCACATGATCCGGTGTCACTTCTAAACTGGGTTTAGTACACCCCTACATTGCCCGGACGGTATTTCCGCGAAACCGTCGGAGGTATCTAGTGAACATTCCATTGGTTAACCAGTGGTGCTGTTGGAAAAGTTGATTTCCCATACCAAATAAAAGTCATCGGGCGCCTGACGACATTCCACCCGGGCCAAGTCCTCACGACCGTGCCGAAATATGAACAATTGCTGCAAGATATATTGAATTTCCTTGTGGTATACCCACATAGAACGTTGCTGAGCCCTATTTGTCAATGCACTTTGAAACGTTATGCAAAAATTTCCAGTGTATCTGTGGTATAATACTGGGTATGGGAATGAACAAGCATTGAAAACAGGTATTTCCAAATACGTGTAACCCATTTTTCGAATCGCTTTCAGTGTTTTCCACCTCAGATTGATAAGTGACTTACATTCTCTACCCTAATGTTTAGAAAGAGCAAATTCATCCGAGGAAAACGTTTTGTGGTTGTGTTTGTAACATCAAGGAAATGTGTGGCTAAAAATGAACTAGCGACAAGAAAAAGTACGCAAAACGGAAATGGGTTAAATCAAGTGGCACGCGTATATCCAGAGTGTAGTAGATTGCAAGTTCTAGGTCAAGGCAATTTCAGAGCCTGTAGCAATGTGCGCTGTTTGCACAGCTCTGGTTTCAAAACCTTGATTGCAATGGCATTAGAAATGGTCAACAGATGTTTCTTAAGCTGTTTCGGGTAACATTCAGGGATGGTATAAACTACTTTAAACAACTAGTTCATCTGGACTTGATGTCCAGTGTCAACCAAGTGTTGTAAAACGTAACCGTTGATGGATTTTGCGGTGCCTTTTCGTAGTGACGCAGGACAATGTTCAGCGATTCTTTTGAACAAACACCTGGTCGTATGTCCAAGATAGCTAACACCGCAGGTGCAGATGAACTGGTATAAGACAAACGATTTGGACCGAACCGGAAGTTCATCCTTTAAACGCTGAAGAATGCATTTGCTGCTGCTTCATCAGCTACGGTCCTAGTGATCGAATGGCCAAGGTTCACTTCAATGGGAATCGCAGTCCACTTTGAGATTGCGCGTCGCAATCCATCCACACAACGTGTACTTCAAATTGACTTTCCAATTCCAAATGCATGGTTTTGTTTCGGTAAGTAGTTTTAGACTGGCGGCTGAAAATGTCTTGGCCAATACTGTCAGGCTTTGTCTATACAACAGTTCGAATGCAACGTCACATTTAAAGGGAACTGTAAGGAATACATCAGTTTTGGACACTGTAGCGACTTACTTGACAGCCCTCAAGCTGTTTGAAGTGCTTCTTGATGAAGGGTACAGAGTATTCCTTTGTTTTCAGCTTGTTAAAGATGAGCTTGGTTTCGATTTGCAGCGTCTCTGGACTGCAAATTGCTCTGGCACGATGGTATAAGCAACGGACTAAATTCCTCTTGCTTATGCCATCGTGCCAGAGCAATTTGCAGTCCAGAGACGCTGCAAATCGAAACCAAGCTCATCTTTAACAAGCTGAAAACAAAGGAATACTCTGTACCCTTCATCAAGAAGCACTTCAAACAGCTTGAGGGCTGTCAAGTAAGTCGCTACAGTGTCCAAAACTGATGTATTCCTTACAGTTCCCTTTAAATGTGACGTTGCATTCGAACTGTTGTATAGACAAAGCCTGACAGTATTGGCCAAGACATTTTCAGCCGCCAGTCTAAAACTACTTACCGAAACAAAACCATGCATTTGGAATTGGAAAGTCAATTTGAAGTACACGTTGTGTGGATGGATTGCGACGCGCAATCTCAAAGTGGACCGCGATTCCCATTGAAGTGAACCTTGGCCATTCGATCACTAGGACCGTAGCTGATGAAGCAGCAGCAAATGCATTCTTCAGCGTTTAAAGGATGAACTTCCGGTTCGGTCCAAATCGTTTGTCTTATACCAGTTCATCTGCACCTGCGGTGTTAGCTATCTTGGACATACGACCAGGTGTTTGTTCAAAAGAATCGCTGAACATTGTCCTGCGTCACTACGAAAAGGCACCGCAAAATCCATCAACGGTTACGTTTTACAACACTTGGTTGACACTGGACATCAAGTCCAGATGAACTAGTTGTTTAAAGTAGTTTATACCATCCCTGAATGTTACCCGAAACAGCTTAAGAAACATCTGTTGACCATTTCTAATGCCATTGCAATCAAGGTTTTGAAACCAGAGCTGTGCAAACAGCGCACATTGCTGTAGTAGATATCATAGATTAAGATATCTGGCAAATTGCTTGCTGTTAGTACATCTCCGTAGCTTGATTAAACACTTGATTTTCTTATTTACGTATCAGTTTAGCTTGGTATCCCCTGCTTTTCCTGTGTACCTTATATCTTTCTTATCCACAACAGATTCAGTGATACAGGAATTGCAGAGATTTCCGCAGACTAACCTGGTCCATAAATTGGTCGATCAAAAGAACGACTGAGTATTACGGTTTAAGATATTCACCCCATTGCTTCCATGATCACTGGTCCTCGAAATTCCCTTAATTGACGAAACCTACTACATCTAAAATATGGTCTTCACAGTTATCAATCAAAGCATGCCTAAACTCCATGATCTTGATTTAAAATAACAGCGCTCGTCAAACCAGTAGATAAGTGAAATCAATTAAACTACTAAAGTGAGAAACTGCGAACAATTCAAACGTTTTAATGCGTAACATACGGGGTGCTTGAGCGCTTCAAGGTGCTGAAAAGCTTTCGGCCAACCAATCAGAGTAAGGAGCTCCGGTGGCATTAAAACGATAACATCAAACAAGCCTGCATAAGCGATCAGTGACATATAATGCAGCATAATGGAAATCAGTCTCGTTTATTTTATCGCTTCATCCTAGCTGCTCACAAGCCAGGTAGTCTGAATCAATTCGGATAAGCAAAAGACTATCATTTCGTCCCATTGGGACTCGTCAATGGTGCGCATTCCCTCAGGCACCTACTGGAGCTCAAGCCCATGGCCGTTAGCAGCTTTCATCAACAATCCAGCAGCTTATGCCACATGACGGCACAAATTCATGATGGAATATAATCGCAAAGGCACGTAGAGTCAATGGGGGAATTCGGTTTTTCAGTCAAGGTTAACTCTACTGATTTTGAGTAGGCATGCGTCACCACAACGGCATAATGCTCCGAGAGGAAAGGTCTAGAGTGAACCATGTGGAATCGCTGTCAGATCTAGCAAGCTATTATCCTAGGAAAACTATTGGTTGGCAGATGTATGAAATGATGTACATATCCCCCGCTGTTTGAACTTAGTCACCGAATGTCAACGGTAAATTCGGGCCGTTAACAAAGTCATGGGGTCAATTGCTTCACCTCTCTAATATCAAGACGAAAACAACGAAAATGCGCAAGCATTTCAGATCGCGAAGCGGTGGAACAATAATAGAGTGATGGTCACAAAGAGCTCCTTATATTAAACCTGCTTTTACGAATTATTATGTCTCCATCATCCAC